ATTCGTGGCACTAAGCTCTAATTTACCTCACATTAAAGAAACACTATAGTCCCCAGAACCACTTCAGCTTAATGTAGTGGTTCTGGTGTCTATAGCCTGTCCTTGCAGGCCTTTTAATGTAAACACGGCGGCACTGCAGCACTGGCGTTAGTTAACATGGAAAATCATATGGGTGGGGCATTGTGATGTCACATGGGGGGCGGCAAACTTTACTTTTGCCTAGGGCGGCAAAAATCCTTGCACCGGCCCTGGCTGGAGGGGGCTGTGTGAGCTGTGGCCGCACAGTGTCCCATGGTAGTTAGGGTGCCGTGCGGCCAGTACAGCTCACACAAGCAAACAGCTGATAAACTGGCCGCACGGAGGAAATGTGTATGTGTGACTGTCTGCCTGTGACTGTGTGTGACTGTCTGCCTGTAACTGAGTGTGTGACTGTCTGCCTGTAAATGTGTGTGTGGGGCTGCAGGGATTTTGTAGAAGGGGGCGGGGGTTTTGTATTGGGACAGGAGTCTTTACAAATTGTAAGAAAAAAAGAGAACCTTTAAAAATTTTTACAGGTTTTTTTTTGGGGGGTGCCAAGCACAGGATCCGCCCCGGGTGCCAAATGCTCTAGGTACGCCCCTGCATTTACAGCCCAAACAATAGACAAGGGTCCTTTCTCAAACGCACCCTCTCTAAACTGAATTCATTCGCATTAGGCATCCTGATCTGTGGGGGAGACTTCAATGTCCACTTAGATATCTCTAGAAATCAACCACACCCAAGGAACCTACAAAAGAAAATCTGCATACAAACCATCCATTCTAACCAATTAGTAGACTGTTGGAGACTGGTGAACCCAACAGCAAACGACTATACATTCTATTCATATGCCAGAGACACATACTCCTGAATAGATCCCATCTTTACACATCACAGACACATTCATCGCATTCAAAAATCCCACATTGGCCCAATCACGTGGACAGACCACGCGTTGGTGCACGTATATATGACCTTCCTGACAATAGCATCCAGAACCTGGAACTTGAAAATTAACGATTCACTACTGTACAACCAGCAAGTGAAAAGAGAGCTACAGAAAACTATATTAAATTATTTTTATGATAACCCAATGTCAGATACCTCACCATTAAATACCTGGGAAGCACACAAGTGCCATAAGGGGTACACTCATCCAATTAGGCACTAGAACTAAGAAGGAAAGGGACAAAAAAATAACCACACTTCTCACTGATATACAGTATCTGAAGACAAGACACAAAGCTGACAAGCATCCAGACTTATTAGTCGCAGTCAGACTAAAAAGGGAGCAATTAGCGCTTCTCCTGAACTACAACGCTAAAAGAGCGATACTACTCATGTAACACTCGTTTTACGCACAACGCAACAAGAATGGTAGACTACTAGCACGGGCATTACAACAAAGACTACATAAGTCATACATCTGCAAAATTAAAGACTCCCAGGGAATGACACGCCAACTCACTAAAGATATAGCGCAAACCTTTCACCACTATTATGCCTCTTTATATGGACTTTCCCCGCCTGCGATACCAGACACTGACAGACTCCAGTACATACAAAAAAACATAACATATAAGCTGCCCCCCCATGACTAAGGACGCACTTAATGCCTCATTCTCACATGACAAGCTACTACAAGCCATCAAAGCTGCACCTAATGGGAAAAGCCCTGGCCCGGGTGGCTACTCTAACAAATACTACAAACTCTTCTCCCCACAGTTAGGGACCCACATGCTGAATGCCTTTAACTTGATTACGAATAATGCCACCTTCAGTCCGTCGGCTTTAGAAGCCACCATAACCTTAATTCCCAAGCCCGATAAAGACTACACACTCTGTAGTAATTACCGAACTATATAATTAATTAACAACGATGTCAAGATATTCTCTTGCATGCTGGCCAACTGACTCAAACCGCACCTCCAAGGGCTTCACCCTGGTCCCTAATCTTTGATGTTATGGGGAAGATCGGCTTCGGTGACCAATGGCTGGCATGGGTACGCGCAATCTATACACACCTGCAGGCCAGGGTTCAGGTTAATGGAACGAAATCCGAACCACTGCCTATCCAAAACGGAACATACGCACCTATAAACGCAATAATCTGTTAACCTACTATGTTCACCCATGTTAGTTTTCATCCTGAAAACAAAATGTACATGTAATGATTGGAAACTCTGTAACCTCATATACTAATGTGTACTACTGTCTTCTAAGTACTGTTGTCATCCATGAAAAACAAAATAAACAAACAAAAAAATAACTGTCAATCTCCCTCGGTCTGGTGCTCCATACAAGATCTCACCTCGTGGAGTTTCAATGATCATGAGAACCGTGAGTAATCAGCCCAGAACTACACAGGAGGATCTTGATAATGATCTAAAGGCAGCTGGGACCATAGTCACCAAGAAAACAATTGGTAACACACTAGGCCGTGAAGGACTGAAATCCTGCAGCACCCGCAAGGTCCCCCTGCTCAAGAAAGCACATGTCTGAAGTTTGCCAATAAACATCTGAATGATTCAGAGGAGAACTGGGTGAAAGTGTTGTGGACAGATGAGAACAAAATCGAGCTCTTTGACATCAACTCAACTCGCCATGTTTGGAGGAGGAGGAACGCTGCCTATGACCCCAAGAACACCATCCCCACCGTCAAACATGGAGGTGGAAGCATTATGCTTTGAGAAAGTTTTTGTGTAAGGGGGCAGGACAACTGCACCACATCAAAGAGACGATAGACAGGGCCACGTACCGTCAAATCTTGGGTGAGAACCTCCTTCCCTCAGTCAGGGCATTGAAAATGGGACGTGGATGGGTATACGTTCAAGGCAACAAAGAAGTGGCTCAAGAAGAAGCGCATTAAGGTCCTGGGGTGACCTAGCCAGTCTCCAGACCTTAATCCCATAGAAAATCTGTATAGGGAGCTAAAGGTTTGAGTTGCCAAATGTCTGCCTCGAAACCTTAATGACTTGGAGAGGATCTGCAAAGAGGAGTGGGACAAAATCTGTCCTGAGATGTGTGCAAACCTGGTGGCCAACTACAAGAAACGTCTGACTTCTGTAAATGCCAACAAGGGTTTTGCCACCAAATACGAAGTCGAAGGGGTCAAATACTTATTTCACTCATTGACATGCAAATCAATTAATAACTTTTTTGACATGTGTTTTTCTGGATTTTGTTTTTGCTATTCTGTCTCTCACTGTTAAATACACCTACCATTAAAATTATAGACTGATCATTTCTGTCAGTGGGCAAACGTTCAAAATCAGCAGGGGATTAAATACTGTTTTCCCTCACTAAAAATACCATTATCTCTTTCTTTTCCTATATAAATCTGCCCCATCCTTGACCCTTTTCTCTCTCTCTCCCCCTCTCTTCATTTTCTGGGGGATTCTATCTGAAGAGGTGTGAATCTGTTTTAATAGCAATGTGTCTCCTTGCAAAAATAAACTAGTGATCCTGTTTTCTTTTGAGTTCCACCCCATCGCTAAAAAAGGATCTAAAGATCTTTCACAATATGGTGACCCTCCCTTAGACATCAAAGGTTTATTCAGATTATTTTCAACCATGTTGACATTAGATTGATGTTCCTTATTACTTTCATATGTACCTTCTTTTGGAAGGTAGACACACTCAATTTTCCGATCTTTATCCATCTTTCCTGGGGTATATTTATTGTGGCAATTTTTTTGAAATTTGTATTTTATTGGTTTTCCACAATCATAAATAGGAGGGGGGAAGGGGAGTGGGTTACAGAAAAAAGAAGGAAAGGTAGTGTGGCGAAACCAACCTCGCCACTGTGAACTGGAGAAGCCTGGTTGCTCGCCTGCTCCCTTTGGACTATGGCCCTGCAGGTTAAACCGTTTATTTCCCCTGCAGAAAGGCTTATTTGTGTGATCTGAGTGCCATTCATCTAATAATGTGCGCTCAGATCCCAGCTATCTGGGGATATGTGAAATGTCTGTGTGTTATGTGTAAATGTGACTTTATGTATTTTAAAGTGTTTTGTGTCTTTTTGCAACCATGTGCTTAATGGAGTCTTGTGTCTATCCTGGGAGGTAATTGAATTACTTATCTCCAGGATAGAAGACTCTGAAACTGGTTTGGGCCAGAAAGCCATGCTTCATTTAGTCACAAAGGACTTTTTACTAACTTTTGAACCCCTTGTCTGATTTGTGCCATTTTTGAATATGTTGTTCCCCTGAATGGATTGATTGTGAATATGTAATTTTATGTGAATGTGATGTATGGTTTTGGAGTTATGAAAGTTGGGTAGAAAGTATGTTTTAACTGTATGTATAATTGAGTTTCCTCTCAGGATAAGGGGAGGGAATATGTGGGATGTAACTGTGATGTGATTGGTTGTTTTGTAACGCCCTGTGGGCTGTACTATGTTTGTGGATTGGGAATAAAAGAGACTGTATGTGACAGTACAGGGAGTTCCTGTTTTAACCCTCAAAGTGAAGTGTCGTCTCATTATTGGGGAAGGATTTATTGTATGCTGTTCCAGTTTGACTGCTAGGAGAGTAAACCTATTCGTATGGTTCCTATTCAACTGTCTACAGCATTCATATGCTTGGGAGGATTCATATGCTTCTCCGGTTCGGTGGTTGTGGTGTCTGCTGCAGTGCTTGGAGTCCTCAGGAAGTGCTAGGAGCATCTTTCAACGGAGGTACCCAGTCGGGGTGCCAGGCGATCCGTTACAGGTAGGTACAATGAGTCACATGTTGAACGATGGATTATGCATTTACATTGTTTACACAGTTACAATGCTTACAGTTGCGTACGTTGATTCATTGTTACACAATAGTAGGGGTCCTCTCCGTGATAGTCGTCACAGCTGACCACTTTTCCAGACTCAATTTGTACTGTTCGGTCTGTCTCTTAGCTACTCGCTGCCTGACTGTCCTAGCCCTGGCGTGCCCAGTTAAGCCTGCAGTTTGCACTTAGGTCGTTACAATGTGTGTTAGATTAGATTAGAATAGAAGTTGTGGGTTGGCCATTCTCCAGGTGCGCCATTGGTCCCACGCTCCGCCAAGGCGGCTTGAGCCAGAGCGCATCCCGGAAAAGCTTGTTTCATAAATCGCCTGGTTATCTATGTCCTGAATAAGGTGTGGGATATTAGGAGCCCCAATTGTCTTCCAGGATCTAGCTATTAGTTTTTGTGCGGTCAGCAGGGTATGATATATTAGTTTTCTCGACTGTATGGGTACTTCCTTGGGGATATCCAATAGCAGAAAGGTCATGGGCTCGAGAGGTAGTTTGACGTTTGTGGTTTCAGCAATGAGTTTTTGGACATCGCCCCAGTACCTAATTAAGCGTGGGCATCGCCACCATATGTGAAGGACTGACCCCGTCTCTTGTTTGCATCTCCAACACGTCGAAGACGTGTGGGGATACAATTTATGTAAGCGAAGCGGCACCATATACCACCTGTAGATTGTTTTCTGATATTGCTCCATGAGGGAGGCAGATTTGACCTGCCTCCTAACGGATGATGTGATAGTTTTCCACTGGTTTTCAGTGATGGAGGTCTGAAGGTCCATTTCCCATTGGCTTGCTTGTGTCGAGCCAGAAAGGGACTGGTATGGCAGGATAAGTTTATAGCATCCTGAGAGTGGCCTATAAGTTGGAGGTATTTTACCCGTGATACTTATTTGTTCCCAGGTTGAGATTTCTCCCTGTTTGTTAGATTCTACCTTGTTATCTTTGTTGAGTTTGTGCAAAAAGGATTTAAGTTGAATGTATGAGTATTGTGATGTGTGTGGGATGTTGTAGGTTCTATTGAGCCGCTCGAAGCTCATCAGTCCGCCTGGGTCAAAGGCTTGGGATAAGAAAGAGATACCTTTCTCTTTCCATGGAGTGGCATGAAAGGTGGGGATGCAGTATGTGATGGCGTCGATGGGTGTCGCCATTGAGAGGCGGTGAGCCGTTTCAAATTTCGTTCGGTGCAAGTCCCAAGTTTGCAACGCTAGTTGAAGTTGAAGGGGTATCAGTGGGATGGTTGGCCTGCTCCTGTTAGGTAGCCATAACAGGTTGGTGACTAGGAAAGGTTTAATAGCTAGGTTTTCTAGAGTCACCCATTGTGGTCGGTTATCTTTAACTAGGTGGTTCATTAAGGGCGCCAGAACCGCGGCCTGGTAGTAGGATTTTACATTCGGAAACGCCATTCCTCCATGACCTATAGGGGCCGTCAATAGTTTGATAGAGACCCTTGCCCGTCCCTTGCCCCAGATAAACTGAAGGAGCGTAGACTGTATGGTTTTAAAATAGGATTGTGGAACCCTCAAGGGAAGATTCCTAAACACATATTGTAGTTTCGGTAATACAGTCATTTTAATTGCGACAATGCGCTCCGTCCAGGTAAGGAACAGCTTGCCCCATCCCCGTAACAGTGACAAGCACTCAGTCCAGACTCTGGTGTAGTTAGTAGGGAACATGTCAGAGGTCTTCCTAGTGAACGTCAGACCTAAGTATTTTATATCGTTTTTCCTCCACTCGAATTGGTAATCTTTGCGTAGTTGCGCTAGGACCTGTGGGTCCAAGTGCAGCCCCAATGCCTGAGTCTTGGATGCATTTAGGGAGTAGTAGGAGAGTTCCCCATATTTTTTAATGAGATGCATGATGTGGGGGAGGGATTTATCTGGTTGGCAGACATATAATAGGATATTGTCGGCAAATGCACTAATCTTAATTTGCTGGTCCTGCCAGGTGATACCTTCTATATCTGGGTGTGATCTGATGGCTACTAGTAGTGGCTCCAAGGCCAGCACGTACAACAAGGGTGACAGAGGGCACCCCTGTCTGGTGCCATTCGTAATTTTGAATAGATCTGATTTGAATCCCGCCTGCAGTACCTGGGCCCTAGGGTGACAGTATAAAGCGAATACTTGCTGAATGAACTGTTGTGGGAATCCAAACACTGAGAGAACCTGCCGTAGGAAGGGCCAGCATCTAAGGCTAAGAGCAACCCACCTGGGCCAGACCTCCGCATCTGCTCCATGAGCAGGGACAGTTTCCGGGTATTATCGAGCCCCTGTCTCCCCATCACAAACCCCGTTTGATCGTCATGGATGATTGAGGGTAGTATTTTGCCCAGTCTGGAGGCCAAGATCTTTGCGTATATCTTAGCATCTGTATTTAGCAGTGATATTGGCCTGAAGTTCTTACATTGATCTGGGGGCTTTCCTGGTTTTGGCAGCGTAACTATGGTCGCCAGTAGCATTTCGGGAGGAAGCTCCCCTTTCTCTGTGGCTATCTGGAATACTTTGACTAATCTGGGGCCCAGTACCTCTGCAAATGTCTTGTAATACAAGTTGGGGAGGCCGTCTGCTCCTGGGGATTTGCCTGGGGGAAGGTGTTGTATCGTGTGGAGCACTTTCCTCAGTGTGATAGGTCGGAGTAATAAATCCAGGTGAGATTGATTAATTTGTGGGAGGTTAAGGTGGGACAGAAACTCCTTGATGTTTTCGTCTTGTATGGTGGGGATTTCGGGTCTGTCTCCTAGATTGTACAGGTTGGAGTAGTATTTTGCAAACTCCTGAGTAATATCTAATGGGTTTTGTATTTTGGTGCCGTCTGGGCTCTGTATGTATGCTACTTTGGCGGCCGCCAATTTCTCTCTCAGTCTATTAGCTAATTGTTTGTTAGCTTTCCCACTGTGGTGGTAATGGGTCGCTTTCATTTTAATTAGGAAGTATGACGTCTTGGCTGCGTGCATTTCGGTAAGTTTTTCCGTTAGGGTTTGAATTTGTTGTGCTAGAGTGTGTGTAGGTGCCTGCTTGTTTTGGGCAGTGATAATTGCCAGTTGTTTTTGGCAGTCCATTATAGTCAATTGTTTGTTTTTCTTTTTAAGATATGAGGAGCGTCTAATAAACAGGCCTCTTACTACAGCTTTGTGTGCCGACCATACTATGGCATCGGGGGTCTCCCCCTCAGAGTTTGTTTGGAAATAGTGGGAGAGTTCTACGGCCACTTGGTCTACGAAGGTTTTATCCTTTAGTAAGGATTCATTTAGTCTCCAATTCCATCTACCTTTGAACTGAAACTTATCATACAACTCCAGGGTCACTGGACTATGGTCTGACCAAGTTATGTCCCCCATAACACACCCTGAGACCTGCGCCAGCGTGGATTGGTCCACATAGAGGGTGTCAATGCGGGTATACGTGTTGTGTACCTTAGAGTGAAAGGAGTAATCTCGTTCCGTAGGGTGAAGTACTCTCCAACTATCGTATAGATTGTGTAGTAAAAGTAGTTTGGACAGTTTCTTGCTCGTGGAAACTATACTCGCTCTCCTAGTCCCCTTCGGGGTAGCGGTAGAGTCTACGTCTGGAGACGTTATGAAGTTAAAGTCTCCACACAACACCAATCCTCCCTGCCTCAGTTTATCTATTTCATTTAGTATGTGTCTTAGGAACCTCTCCGCTCCAGTGTTGGGGAAGTATACCGAGGTCAACGTGTATTGAACATTATTGAATAGACCCACAAGAACAATGTACCTTCCCTGGGTATCTATAGAGATTGCTTGCTCTTGGAACGCTATGTCTTTGTGTATGAGGATGGAAACTCCTTTTGTCTTGTTGTCTGAGAGGGCATGGTACTGTGTGGGATATAGTTTAGTGAAAATTGAAGGGGTTCGAGTTTTCATGAAGTGCGTTTCCTGAACACACGCAATATCTATCTCGCCTTTCTTAAGATCCTGCAGTAGTAGCCTGCGCTTTCCCGGGGAGTTTAGTCCTTTTACATTGTATGTTAGAATTTTAACCATTGTGGAGTAGGTAAGTTGGGGGCACTTTTAGACCTGGTCATTGTTTCCGTAGGAGTTGTGAAAACAGTGACGTACTCCAGCATTGCGCATCTGCTATGGTGTTGCCGCTTTGAGCTGTATGGATCGTGACTAGGGGGAGCAGGTGTAGGGTGGGGCGAGGGGAAAGTAGGTAGGCAGGGTGGGATTGGGAGAACTGGTGGGTGACACACCCAACTCGGCTCCAAGATGTGGGGCCGTGTGACCTTACTTAGTGAGTAGGTACGTCTGGTGGGGGTAGTGGTGGTGAAGTTTCTACTCATAGTGTACTGTCACCATGAAACCAGAGGGGCAGTCGTAACGCATAGTTATACTAGTTGGTAAGTCATTAAAAATAAACACAAAACTTTGACTTAGCGTAACAAATAACTAAACACAGCCTCTCTATACAATATCATTCTACTGTTTGTCAACATTTGTACTCATGCCCCCGTGAGAGGGCTATTAAAGGCTTAGTGGGCAGCGTCATACTCTAGCCAGCAATCCTTGCTGCTTATTTTAAGGATACCATACTGTACCCGCAACATTTGTGAAGTTAACTTAACTCTATCTCTAATATGAACTAATAATATAACATCTAGGTTTGCACTATAGGGCAGGGTTAGTTACGTATATTTCAGGAGGGTACCAGACTTTTCATTTGACAGTCCACTCTGGCGACTTCCTTGGCATCGCAGTTGTCTTAGTTGGTTCTGGTGCCGGCGTAGGGAGCCCCCAGTCACCCATTTTCTGGATACCTTGCTCCAGGGTAGTAATAGAATGTATTGCTCCTTGATGGGAGATCAAAAGCTTAGCAGGGAAACCCCATCTGTAGCTCAGGTTGTGCTCACGTAGAGTGGAGGTGATCGGCGACATTGACTTTCTGAACTGCAGCGTATCTGCTGACAGGTCCGCGAAGATTCTAATGGTACTGTATTCTTTCGGCATGCCCGAGTTCCTGCTGACGCGCATGAGCTTGTCTTTTGCGTGGAAAAAATGTATCCTGGCAATTACATCTCTCTCAGCCGTTTGCGGCAGATGTTTCGGCCTGCGCAGCCTGTGTGCTCTGTCTATGATCAGTTGATCTGGGTGAATTTCTGGGGCCAGGCACTGGAACATGTCGGACAAATAGTTGTGCAGTTCGGCGTTTGTAACGGTTTCTGGGATTCCCCTGAACCGGAGATTGTTTCTCCTCGCCCTGTCTTCTATGTCAGCCAGTTTTAGCCTGTGCGCTTCCAGACTTACTTCAAATTCCTGGAGTTTATCTGCCAAACTATTGTGTGCCTCCGCATATTCGTCCATTTTGGACTCCATTTGGGCTGTGCGAGTCCCAATATCTTGTATATCTTTCTGTAGGTCTGCTGTCATGGCTTGTATTTGCAGCTGCATGTTTTTCTGTATGGTGTCTGAGAATTCAGACATTAATGTACGCATTCCCCTCACTGTAAGTGGTTGATCATCTGCACTTTGTGTGGGAGATGAACGAAGTGAGAGGGAGTGTTCCTGCGGTCCCGGGTCGCCGCCATCTTGTGCAGGCTCTTCTCCCTCGCGCTGTTTGGAGGCCGCGATTTTCGCGCCGAAAAAGGAGGCTCGTTCTGATTTCCCCATTTTGGATTTGGGTCTTTGAGACGTTGTGCACATGAGCTCCCGGTAATTAGCTTGTGTGTCGCTCGGTATACCGCTTATTTATTGCCCGTTCTGGCTTCTGTGCAGGGAGCTGCTCCTGCATGCGTCCGCTCAGCTCCGGCGTCGAGCCACGCCCCCTATTGTGGCTATTTTTAATGTAATGGGATCTCCCGCCTACTTTTTTTCCTCAAAAAAGTTATTTTTAGTAGGGAAAAATGTTTTTTCTTTTATCTTCAAGATCCCTTTTATATTTTTGGTTTTCAACACTAGCAATTTTTTCATTAACATTTTTACATTTTACAACCAACTCCTCCTCTTTTTCTTTGTTTTCTGCAAATGCAGCAGCCATTTTGAGTCTTGCTTCTTCCCAATGCATGTGATCAGTGTTGGTATCGGCGAACAGAATTTGTTGCACTCTTCTAGGTGAGCTATACACATTTCCAGTTAATTGAGGATGTTTCTTTCTACTCCTGCAAAATAGTCAGTGAGTGATATTTAGTCTGCTTGCATCCTTTATACAGGCAAATTTTCCTGGTCACCTTCATTATCAGCCAATGTTACGCTTAAAGGCGGAATATCTGCAATTTTTACTGTTTTGTGATCAGATGGTCCCTCTATTTCGTGAGGTGAAGGTGGAACTTCGATGGTGGTTACTTCATATGTATGCATGGCATGTCAAAGCCATCTTTGGTCCTTCTCCAGATTTAATTCTCGAGTCAGATGCCAACCTCTGGGGTTAGGAGCGTCTTCCACAAAGGGCTGTACGAGAGAACCATGGTCATAATCCAAAGCTTTATTATAGAACTGTTGCACAAGACAAAGTGACTAATTGCATCCTGGATGCAACTGCATCCAGGATGGACAATATTTTGGCGGTCCAGTACATCAGCTGCCAAGGAGGAGCAAGATTCCACTTGCTGTCAGAAATCACATAAGAGATCTATCAGTTTTGATTCCAACATCTCCTTCGAAATGTAGTGTTTGCAGTCCTCCAATCCCTGAGAGGACATTTCCAAGATGATGTCTTTGCATCTCGAAACAATTGATAACTCCTACCAGAGCTACCATAACTCAATAGCATGGTGGTGGATTCCATCTCCAAATATGGCTAGATCAACAGGTCTATGCGCTTCCACCATATGCCATAATTGTGAGAGTGATTCAACAAATACGGAACCAATCCCGGCATTTTTGGTTCCCGGCTAGATGCATCCTATCTGGATTCCAACGTCACCACCACTCCTCACAGACCCTTAGGGGGTTCCCACTAGTCCTCCAGGACCATCTTCATCTGGTGAGTTGGAAGCTCTAAGGAGGTCCTGGAATGTCGAGGGATTTTCTCACATGGCTATGGACTTATTGCGAGATTTGTGGGCCCAGATACCAGACAATGTTAAATTTTGGCTTGGCATTTCTGAAATGGTTGGTGCTTGGAAAGGGATTTTGATCCCTTTACAGCCCCTATATGGCCCATTTTGAACTTTGTTTCCTCTCTGTTTTGTTTGGATAATCCTTACCGTTCTATTAATGTCATGTGTTCTGCAATTTTGGAGGCTCATGTTCTGGTTGATTGTTCTTCATTACTCTTAGGGGATAATCTATTGATCCTTTCCTACAGATTCTATTCTTATTTTTTTAAGTGTAATCTTTTGGATTCGTTTTTTCAGTGTAATCTTTTGGATTCAGTTTGGTATATCGGGGTGGATGAAGCTCATTTTTCTCAATGAAGTTATGGTTATTTGCTGGACTGTTTGTTCTTATTGCTATAATGAAAGAGGAGGAGTATCAGTTTGCATGCCTGTTTGTTTAGGTTGAAGGATTATGATTGGTTCTCTTGTTAGAGAGTAAAATACAAGGAGTACAGTAAAGAAAGTTAAAGGGCCACTATAGTGCCAGTAAAACATACTCGTTTTCCTGGCACTATAGTGCCCTGAGGGTGCCCCCACCCTCAGGGTCCCCCTCCCGCTGTGCTCTAGGGGGTGGAAGGGCTTAAACTTACCTCTTTCTCCAGCGCTGCGAGGGGGACTCTCCTCCTCGGCTGAATGCGCATGCGCGGCAGGAGCTGCGCGCGCATTCAGCCAGTCTATAGGAAAGCATTCACAATGCTTTCCTATGGACACTGGCGTCTTCTCACTGTGAAAATCACAGTGAGAAGCGCGGAAGCGCCTATAGCGGCTGTCAATGAGACAGCCACAAGAGGCTGGATTAACCCTATTATAAACATAGCAGTTTCTCTGAAACTGCTATGTTTATAGAAAAAAGGGTTAAACCTAGCTGGACTTGGCACCCAGACCACTTCATTAAGCTGAAGTGGTCTGGGTGCCTATAGTGGTCCTTTAAGCAAAATATTTGCCTCCTGTCATTTATTACGATTATAGGTACACTAAAGCTAGCACATTCTACAATTGCTTGTCCCCGTTTTCTTTGTTTAACTCTTGCAGTGCCAGGTGTATCACAGGCCCAAATGCAGAAACAAAAAAAATATATTTACTATCAGCTAGGAGGAAGGTGTGGTTTAAGGTTCTGGGGCTGGTTAGATATTTTGAAAGCATGCAGCTGCTCAATTCCCTGATGTACTTCCAGTCTTAATATATGCAGGTATCAGTCTTGTAGTCACATTTAAATAAGCTGATGCTAAAAAAAAAAAAAAAAAACTGGCAGTGAGGGGTCCATGGTAATGACTATTTAAAAAAAAATAAAAAATGTATTAGTACACATTTGCAGGTGTACCTCAACTTGTTTTTCATGTGACCTAGGCATATGGTTTTTAAATTATGCACTCACACTTTATGAGTGGGTCTATAAAAGTTATTGCGTTATTAAAGAAACTGCCATTTTCGTTTTACTAATACAGAATCCCCTGACTTTGTTTGTCTAAAGAACATGAAATGTCTCTTCATTATTTAGGAGACACAATGTTTTGAGGTATCTCAGTGTTCAGTTGCTTCTTAGTATAGAACATCTGGAGGAAGGAAACATGAGTCTAATAGGATTTGTGACTTTTAGTCTAGTTTGCCTCCATCATACTCACTTTCTTCTATAATGAGGACCCAGCACATCTGCTCTGTTTATTGTCAGCATCCAAAGGGAGTTTTATTCACTGACACAGTTTTGTTACTTTTCATAGGACCCAACAAGCAAATGCAAGGAGCCCTACTAAATCTCACTATGAATGCCAGCCTCCCAGCTTTTAATTACTGGCCTGCGACTGCAGCATCAGCTTTCTCCAAGTTGATATCTAGAATTTGTATAGAGCACACATCAACAGCACGCTGTCTGTATCCAACCTGCAGCTGCACTCAATGTACCAGGAGTCTATTGTGTGCCCAAGTGGAATTCAAGCCCCCATACATTCACATTACAAACACTCTGAATGTCAGACTATTTGTGGCATGTCTGCCAACCTCTAAATGTTAAATGTTTAAAGGAGTGTAGAAGCTGGAGTATATTTTCTGCAGTTTTGGGGTTGTGCCTATACATTTTGTCATATAAAAACACTGCCAATACATTGTGCAAAGTCACAGTGACAACGATAAAGCCTTTAATAAGCACACAGTGGGAGGTAAGATGTAATGATCTAGGAATTAAATTTTATTTTAATTTAGTGAAGTATATTGTGGCAAAAGTGACCTCGCCACTGGTTCTTGGAGGGGCCTGCTGGCCAGCCTCTTGCCTCAGGACTATATGCCCTGCAATATACCTTGCCCAATGCACTTGAAAAAGCTCTATTTGTGTGAGGCATGTACTTTTGTACTGAAGACAGAGAGGCCGACCATTAGCACTGATTCCCTGGAACTATTTTTGGCTATGGGATCATGCCTGTGGTCGGTAAAAACATGACATCCATAAAATTTCTGAACCCCTGAACTGATCTGGGTGATTTTTGGATATGTTGGTCACCCAGATCAGGGCTATCAGGGGATGTAACATTTGTGGGGATATTATGTGTTTTGGGGGACTTTTGAGAAATGTGTGTTTTTTGTGTTTGGAGATAATTGAAGATTATATTAGCTTTAGTGTACTAATAATCTTAATTTTAGTAATGACAGGAGGCGAGTATTTGCATATCTTTCTTTACTGAAAACTCCAGCAGCATAGAAACAGTAACAACCAATCAGAGAAAAGATATGGTGCCCATATAAGGCCCTGTCTATGACATCACTTCCTCTTTCTTTGAAGCGAATGATAAACAACAACAACATAAACTTAGTCCGTTAACATTTCAACAAACGTAGCGGAGAAAAACCAACTCCGGCGATTCCATGGTCAAACGGCATGGAAGGTGAAACTTTGTCCCGTAGAGAAGACATTCATGCTGAAAGAAAAAGAAAAAAGTGAAAGGTTTCTGAAGTGGCAACGTGCCCACATATTATAAATATTACGAAAACTGTAACATCTCCTAGAGTATATAGTACTGTGAAAAAACTGTCAATACTCAAATAACTAAACCTGCAAGCTACGCCATGCGATAAGAAGAAAACATCATATAGTGCAAAGAATATGACCAAAATACAGCTACGGTACTGAACATGTGTCCTCCTAAGAGGTAGTACAATATAAACATATAAGTCTTCCTGAACACCGAACACAATCTGTATAGTACAAACTCACCTGGGCGGGATCCAACGGGTGGGAAATACTCGCCTCCTGTCATTACTAAAATTAAGATTATTAGTACACTCAAGCTAATATAATCTTCAATTTTACTACATGACAGGAGGCTTCATATTTGCATTTTTAAAGCTTAGCTCTGACCAGTGTGAAGGAAGCGTGAGAGGAGTGACGGAAGTAGAACGTCCTAAACGTACTCTCCCGTGTCCAATCCGCACAACGCATGATGTCGGTTAGGGAGGCGCCTGCCAAGAAGGCTTGGGATGCTGCCGCCCCTCTGACCGAATGCGCTCCGAAACCGGAGTCGACTCCTGCCAGCCTTAAAAGCCAGCGAACCCATCTGGCCAAGGTTATAGTAGACACCGGTCCGTGAGGCCTTACGTAAGAAATCAGTAGCTGACCCGTCGGGGAACTCCGAAGGTTGGCCGTGATTTCCGTATACCTCAACAGTGTCTTGACCACACATAGCTTGGGGTCGGAATCAAAATACGGATAAGTCACCGAGGACGAATCCGATTTAGTCCGTCTTGATATGGAAAAGGCAACTCCCTCCGGGGTGAGGGAGAAACCGTCCACGTCAAACGCCCTAATGTCAGACACCCGTCGGAAAGAGACGAGGCATAGCAAAAGGGTCAGTTTAGCTGAGAGCTGTTTCAGTGATAGAAACGGGTTATCCGGCCAGCCCCGGAGGAAATCCAGCACCCCATTAACTTGCCAGAGGCTGGAATACTTGGGCGCTGGGGGCCTCGTAAGTCTGGCGCCCTGCAGTAGACGGCATACCAGCGGGTCTTGACCCACTGGCCTGCCCTGTACTGGGACATGCGCCGCTGAAATAGCCGATCTGATCACGTTAAGGGATCTATATGATCGACCCGTCGAGAAAAGATGAGCGAGGTAGTTGAGGATCAGTGGGACAGAGGCAGTAAAGGGATCGGAATCCCTCTCCACGCACCAATCACTCCAGGCTGACCATGCGGAGATGTAACATCTCCTTGTGCCAGGAGCCCATGAGTCCCACAGGAGGTCTTTAGTAGATTGCGATAGGCCGTGGACCGACCAGGAGCCCCTGAAATCGTCCAGGCCACCAGTTCCAGTTGTCCTTCCAGGACGAGGGGATGTAGTTCCCCCCGAGGTCCCGACAGGAGGAGTGGAACGGTCGGAAGCCGAATGGGATGGTCGTCGGACATCTCCAGGAGGTCCGGGAACCACGGTTGACTCTGCCAGAGAGGTGCTATGAGCAGGAGCGATATCCTGTGAGTGCGTGTGTACCGCAGCACTCGTGGAATCATAGAGAATGGAGGGAAGGCG